GTGTGTGTGTGTGTGTGCACATGTAGTGTGTGTGTGTGTGTGTGTGAGTGTAGTGAGTGTGCATGTGTGTGTGAGAGTGTGTGTGTGTGCGCATGTGTAGTGAGTGTGTGTGTGTATGTGTGCGCACATGTAGTGTGAGCGTGTAGTGTGTGTGTGAGTGTGTGCGAGTGTGTGTGTGCGCACATGTAGTGTGAGTGTGTAGTGAGTGCATGTGTGTGTGATTGTGTAGTGTGTGTGTGTGTGTGTGTGTGTTCGCACGCACATGTAGTGTGAGTGTGTAGTGTGAGTGTGTGAGTGAGTGTGTGTGTGAGTGCATGTGTGTGTGATTGTGTAGTGTGTGTGTGTGTGTGTGTGCACGTGGAGTGAGTGTGTGTGTGTGTGTGTGTGTGCACATGTAGTGTGTGTGTGTGTGTGTGTGCACGTGGAGTGAGTGTGTGTGTGTGTGTGTGTGTGCACATGTAGTGTGTGTGTGTGTGTGTGTGCACGTGGAGTGAGTGTGTGTGTGTGTGTGTGTGTGCACATGTAGTGTGTGTGTGTGTGTGTGTGCACGTGGAGTGAGTGTGTGTGTGTGTGTGTGTGTGCACATGTAGTGTGTGTGTGTGTGTGTGTGCACGTGGAGTGAGTGTGTGTGTGTGTGTGTGTGTGCACATGTAGTGTGTGTGTGTGTGTGTGTGCACGTGGAGTGAGTGTGTGTGTGTGTGTGTGTGTGCACATGTAGTGTGTGTGTGTGTGTGTGTGCACGTGGAGTGAGTGTGTGTGTGTGTGTGTGTGTGCACATGTAGTGTGTGTGTGTGTGTGTGTGCACGTGGAGTGAGTGTGTGTGTGTGTGTGTGTGTGCACATGTAGTGTGTGTGTGTGTGTGTGTGCACGTGGAGTGAGTGTGTGTGTGTGTGTGTGTGTGCACATGTAGTGTGTGTGTGTGTGTGTGTGCACGTGGAGTGAGTGTGTGTGTGTGTGTGTGTGTGCACATGTAGTGTGTGTGTGTGTGTGTGTGCACGTGGAGTGAGTGTGTGTGTGTGTGTGTGTGTGCACATGTAGTGTGTGTGTGTGTGTGTGTGCACGTGGAGTGAGTGTGTGTGTGTGTGTGTGTGTGCACATGTAGTGTGTGTGTGTGTGTGTGTGCACGTGGAGTGAGTGTGTGTGTGTGTGTGTGTGTGCACATGTAGTGTGTGTGTGTGTGTGTGTGCACGTGGAGTGAGTGTGTGTGTGTGTGTGTGTGTGCACATGTAGTGTGTGTGTGTGTGTGTGTGCACGTGTAGTGAGTGTGTGTGTGTGTGTGTGAGTGTGTATGTGTGCGCACATGTAGTGTGTGTGAGTGAGTGTGTGTGTGTGCGCACGTGTAGTGTGTGTGTGTGCACGCGTACATTTAGTGTGAGTGTGTAGTGTGTGTGTGTAGTGAGTGTGTGTGTGCACGTAGTGTGAGTGTGTGTGTGTGATTGTGTAGTGTGTGAGTGTGTGTGTGTGCGCATAATAATGGAGTGTCACATTTGAAGAAAAACTTTCTTGTCTATATCATGTGAGAACATATAACACACAACAGGCTACTGTAAGACTGGAAATGTGTTTTCTTGCCACTGAAATACATTTTTAAATATATTTTGGTATATAAAGGGTGAAACTAAATATGTTTTCAATTTCAAAACTATATTTCATTGAGCTTCACTGTTTACAATGTATATTTAGCATATACTTCAAATATATTTAGCCTGGAGATGTCTGTCTGTTTGGCGTTCCCTCAGGCGGTCACCTGAACCCCGCCGTGTCTCTGGCCATGGTCATCCTGGGGAAGCTGAAGATCTGGAAGTTTCCCGTCTACGTGACGGCGCAGATGTTGGGCGCATTTGTCGGAGCGGCTGCAGTCTTTGGATTGTATTACGGTGAGTTTGAGGAATCCAGCGGTTTCCTGTGTTTAGGATCTGATTAATGCGTGTGTGTGTGTTCAGATGCCTTCATGGACTTCACCAGCGGGATCCTGTCGGTCACAGGAATTAACGTCACAGGACACATCTTCGCCTCGTACCCAGGCAGACACCTGACGGTCCTGGGCGGATTCGTGGATCAGGTCAGTCTGTCTGTAGCTACATCACTGAACTGAAAGCACACATTTAGTCTGTTTCACAGCCGCAGACTGAGGCCAGTAACCAGATGAACGCTTGACTAATGCACATCGAGCGACTGAACGCTTCTACCCAGAAACACACCAGTTCAGCTTGAACCCGTGACCTAATTCAGCTCCTTTTGTCCCAAATAAACATGTCATGCTTTGAATTACTCGACAAAAGAGTTAGGCCTATATTTGAAATTAATGCATTTGAATTACACAGTTTTAACATAAACTCATAACTCATAGTAATGCGAGGCATATACAAATAAAAAAATAATAAAATATTTAAATATATTTACTAAAAGTATACAAAAATGGCCAAAAAAAATACATATTTGCTAATATATGTTTTATTTGATTTGTGTTACTTATTTATTTGATTTGGGGCTTGTTTTAACATTTCAAATTAGGTTTGTTATTTACATTTACATTATATTTAAATGTAAGAATCGAATCGAATCGTGAGTTGAGTGAATCATTACATCCCTACTTCTACCTGCATAATTTTGAAATGTTTTTTCCTACATTTTGGAAAATATATTTTAAAAATATAAATAGATATTTATTACAGCATTTAAAAATATATTTTGGCCTATATATTTCAGTCCAAGAAAATATGTCACATTTGAAGAAAATGTTTTATTTGTTGTCTATAACGTGCGTAATGAAACAGGTCAGATTTCTGTAATAGTACTAACAAACTGAATGTTTTAAATACACAATAACTAGCTTTATATATTTATCATCAATAATCTCTTACATTTATCTATTTGAATATTGCTTGTTCCACAGCTAGCCATATTTTAACCATGTTTACACTTTTTAACTGAATAAATCAAATTTTTTTCCCACAATGAACAGAATTATACTAAACACTGTAAATAAATGCAATTGCATGCAATGCAAAATGTTTATAAATTTAAATAATCTCAAATAGATGTTCAAATAATTTACCAATAATATACCATGATTTGAGTGCAGAAATCTGCTGCGTTTCATTGACGTATGACTGACAAATATGAATCACATTAAAGGGGTCATGAACTGGCTTTTGTATTATTTTATACTGTTGTCTGAGGTGCACTTATGACGTTCACATGGTGTTTACATTCAAAAACATCAAAATCAATAAGTAATAGGCTATTTTCTACCCTGGTTTTGAGGCGGCTCGAGAAACGCTGGGTTTTATGGGCGTGCCGCATTGAAGACTTGGAAGTAAACACCCACTGCTGTGATTGGATAACAGTTTTGCATAGTAAACTATCTTCATAGTTGGAGCCTTCTGTGACTTTGGTTAGACACGTACACATAATCAGGACATATCAAGCGATCGCTAATAAAGCAATAGTGACACACAGTACAAATATTTTTTACTCCCATAAGTGTGCTCGCCATTCCTGTCGGATTCAGTATCAATGGCACAGCATTGCTTTTTAATCTCAGTCTCTCTGCAAATCCAGCGTCGACTTGTGTCTTGTTTACAAACGAATCCGCGGTGAAATGAAGCGAACAATCGCTCAATGTTTTTACTCACGTGAGCTGAAACTTCAGTAAAAATAAAGTTCACCCGCGCACTCCTAATATTTGAATCCAAAGGAAGGTTATGCAGCAACTGTGTTCTTCCACAACCAAGCACTGCACAATCTGCGATCTTTAACAGCATCTTTATTGCTTGGCCACTCATGTTATTTCCCCACTGTGTCGTGTGTGAATCAGTGGGCGGGGCTACATAATTAGGCGTTGATATTCTTCTGTGGAGGCGGAGCTTAACCTATCTATTACAGGCACATTCCAGGATCTGGCGTTCGCTGGCCCTGCTCTCAATAAAAGCTTTTATTTCAGAAACAAGGACATTTTCAGTTCTGAAACTTACAGGACATTCTTTTAGTACGATGACCTCTTATATAGCAAAAGCTGAAGTAAAAGTTGATTTCTCAATTCATGACCCCTTTAAGTTTGTTTGTTTATGTTAGGGTAGTTCGGTGGCCGCTCAATAAGCGATGTCCATCTGTCATCAGGTGGTGGGGACGGGAATGCTGGTCCTCTGTATTCTGGCGGTTGTGGACGGCAGGAACATGGGTGCTCCTCGAGGCGTGGAGCCGCTGGCTGTGGGTCTGATCCTGCTGGGCATCAGCGTCTCCATGGGGCTGAACTGCGGTTACCCTCTGAACCCCGCCAGAGACCTGGGCCCGCGCCTCTTCACCGCCGCTGCCGGGTGGGGCATGGAGGTGTTCAGGTGCGAGCGCATCAGATTTAGACCTGAGACGGAAGTGCATCACTGGATCACGCCAGTGTCACTAAGTCTTGATTCTGCTCTAACAAGCATCATGTTTCACTGTAGTATTTGATCAGAACCAGGCGAGCAGTTTGAGTTCAGTGGTGAGTTTAGAAGTTTCAGTCACAGCATCAGTTAAGTTTGAGTTAATGAGCTCTGACAGTCTAATTAACGTGCTGCACACTCACACACACACGCACACACACTATTGATCAGTTCATTACATAATATCACATGCACTCATCAAGATCTGTAAATGTGATGAACGTGCAGCTTCACATTATGATTGTTTGACTGCACTGGTGAGCTCGTCACATAGACTTCCATTATTTTTCGACCAGGTTAATGATATTCTCCATTTCTGAACCCTAAACAAATGCTCACAGAAGCAGAATAAATCAGTAGTATAATTGTGAAACAACACATGATGTTAAAAGTACATTAATCATCAGTAATCATCAACTGTTCTTCACCAGTTTTATTTTAGCCTCATTTATATAGTATTAATGCTTTGAATTGGTTTTATTTGTATATTATTTGTATATTTTTTATATTATTTTCTATTTCTATTTCAATTTTATTTTAGTAATTTTGTTGTGATTTTTTTTAATTTGCTTTAGTTTTTATTACATAGCTTTTTTATTAATTTATATTTCAGTTTTATTACCATATCATTGATATACTATTGTTGTTTTTAATCATATTTTGAATTGGTTTTATTTTTATATTTTCCATTTTCATTTTATTTTGATTTAAAGTTTTAGTACTTTTGTTTTTTATTTGTGTTTTTTAGTAATTTTAGTACATCAAGTTGTATTTACAGTTGTATTTACTCAGTGTAACTTATAACATCCAAGTGAAAGATAAAACACCAACATGTCAGAAAAACAAAGCAGAATCAGTGAGTTGGAAAAAGGATCACCCCGCAAGGAACAATCAACCGCAAGGAACTGTCAAAAGATCTCTGAGATAAAGTTGTGGACAGGCACAAGTCAGGAGATGGATACAAAAAAATAATTTCAAAGTCTTTATCAATGCCTAGAAGCACAGTCTATTATTAAGAAGTGGAAGGTAATTGGTACAATACGGAACCTCCCTGGATCAGGACGTCGCTCCAAACTGATGAAAGAGCCGGAGGAAACTGCTCAGAGAGGCGACTGAGAGACCGACAGCCAGGCCTGGATTAAGAGCACATAGGGCCCTGGGGCTGTTTTAAACACAAGGGCCCTCCTTCATAGTAGCCTATCTTGTGTTTTTAAAAAAATCAAATCTCCAACACAGAGATACAATGAGTGTGCACACTTCCAGGCTACAACACATTAAAAGAATAAATACATTAACATCAGATATATGAAGTCAAAGCAAACAGGTTTCCAGAAACAGCAACAACTTTTGAGCATAAATGGCTTCCTTAAGGAGTTTAGTTTAAATAGTTTTATTATTAGCAGGTCTTCTTTCTGGCTCTAGAGGAGGAGAATCACCAGGGCTGGACTTCAGCCCATCTGGCACACACACTCCCCCAAAAATGTTCTGCTGGCATTAGGGCAATTGGAATAAGTAAATTATTTATTATGAATAAATAAAGGACGGAAACTAATAATAACTAATATTTTTAAATATACTTTTAATGCATTTAACAATATTAATATTCCATGATATCGCAGGCTCTTAATTATTGAATTCATATTTTTAGAATGATTAAATTCTCCTTTGTTGCCTTAATGAAAAGCTATTGTAATTCTTGAATCCAGAGTTAACTGTATAGTATTAGTAAACCTCTATAAAAGTGACTTGTTGCCTTTATTTTACCCAATATTTAATATAAGTAGCCTATAATAAGTTTTGTGACATTAATAATATATATCATTAATGCCATATTTCTTCAGTGTCAATAATTGCATGGTAAATAGGTGTGGTGCTTATTTACAGTTTTGCAGAGTTTACACTTCACCTCAATCTTCACCACAGAGACTCTCCGGTTCACATACAGGCCTAATGTTACAAGTGTCGTGTGCCGAATTGAAGCGCTGGTTATTATCGCTTCAATAGAGCAGCGGAAGCGTCGAGCTACAGTCGTTGTCAGCTGGTCTCTCGGGCTGCACGGTTTAATCAGGTAGTGTCGTTTCATCAGTGTTTGTTTCTCGTGCGCGTCAGAAATCTTACATGTTAATAGCCAGTTTCACCAGCACATCTACCATATTTCGAATAAGAAAAACAACTATAATGCAACCAAGGGCAAATTATGACAAACAGAAACGATTAATTCACTGCTTCAAGCTATATGCAGTCTGTTAGTTTACCTCACATCCTGATCGGAGTCGTTCGTTCTTTTGTCACATCATATCCCATAAGCTGAAGCTATGCAGAACTTGAAACAGATTTGATTAGTTCACCTCTGGAGTCCTCGGTTTGAGTCGTTCGTTCTTCACGTTACCTCTTCCCGGCTCAGTATCTTACAACATGTATGTTGTATGATGAACTAATTTCTGTATCCAGTACTGCTGTCCCATCACGTGACAAAAGAACAAATGACTCCGACCCCAAGACCCAAGTAATTGCTTGTTCGTCATGTTGATTCTCCTCTTCAGGAAGTGTGAAGAAGTCATTTTCATGGCCTCTGCTTTCAGGAGACTGCAGTGGCTCTTTCTGTGGTATCTCAACAGTGAGAACACGACACTGTGCTGCCAGAACCATCTTGATGTTGTCATTTCTTGTTTCATGCCTTTGAATTTTGGCAGGGTTACCGCAGCAAGCAAAGCTTCATCAGGATGGAGCTAAACCGTGTCTTGGGAGCCTGCAAGAAAATATTAGATTACGAGATATTTAGATTAGATTTTAGATTTAGGATACACAGTTTATAAACTAATAGACATGCATTCATACCAGAATAATTAATTTTGTCAGGAAAAAAGTAAGTAGAATGAAACTGAATAACAGTTACATAAACATATTGACTTGAATGCACTGCCACTATTGTATGAGAACTGAACTGAGCTGGAGGATGACATCACGGTTTTCTCCAGAGCTGCTTTACAGCTATATTGAATTCTGTTTGCATCATTGAATCATTATTTTCCTGTTTGACACTGTAAAGCTGCTTTGAAACAATCTATATTGTGTAAAGTGCTATAGAAATAAAAGTGACTTGACTTGACATAAAATAAAACTACAATAATAATAATAATAAGACAATATTGACCAGAATTACCTGAACTATGAGGTCTGGGAGGTCGGCCATCATATGAGAGAGGCCCTCTTTCAGTGCCAAGAGTTTGGCCATCAGGATTTCAAGGGTAGGTTGAAGGGTGCCGTAGAAACAGTCATCACCTTGAAGTATATCCAAAGCCATACAGACAGGCTTCAGAACCTTGCAGTATCTTTAAGGAACTGATACTCTCTCTCTCTATCTCTCCGTAATGCATCTGATGTCCAGGCGAGTTGATTGAGGTCCACTAAGGGCATGTCTGTGACTCTGCTAAGCGCATCATGTTTCATCTTGTAGTTGAAGGGACCAGCAACTTTCTTTTGCTGAATTCCTCCAGGCTCTGATGCCACAGTTGATCGACTAACTTTTGACCACAAGGCTGAACACTTTCCAGTTGCACTTCTGTACACTGCTTTGCAATCTGCCTTCGCCGTCCAAAATGTAATGTTAAATTGATGTCGTTCGTGCATATAAGGTAAAGGGTGTGGGATGCACACCGGTGCTGTGGAGGGAGAACATAGCTTTCACTGGTCTCAATGTCATCTTGTAAAACTTTGTGCAAGTCCATAAAGATGACCTTGTTTTCATCATCAGCTTGAAACATTCTTTGACAAAGTTCGAGCCATTGTCAGTGACCGTGGCAGTTATCTTACCACAAAGAGCAAATGAGCTGTGAATTTGCTGCGATGTCTCCCACGAAATCGTCAGAGTAGCAGGATCGATCCAGTGTACAGTAACTCCCAAAAAAACTTTCCATACTTTTCCAGAGCAGTCCATAGATCTGCAGTGGTGGAAACATATTCCAGGTTGGCTAAAGTTTTCTTCAGTTCTGTCTCCATTTCCATATATACTTTGTCCAATAAGCTTCTAAAGGTTTTGCGATCGGGCAGCACGGCCCCCGGCCCCCGGCCTTTTCCCCGTCACGGAGATTTTGCTGATGACATTACGAAATGTAGGCGCCTCCACAGTGGACAGCGGCTGCATCTCCTCAACAATAAAAGCAGCAACCAGTTTGTTGAGTTCAGTCGAACTAATTGTTTTACCTGGTGGTGAACGTGAACTGAAATCAAGCTTTTGTTGTTTAGCTTGAGGCGGGGTGCAGGTATCATTCGGCTCTCTCTCTCTCTCTTCCAACTCTGTAGTGCTGTGCTTTGCATGCAGATGTTTCATTTTAATTCAGTACTTTATTTTTTTATGCAAATTAATTAAACTGAAAAGTAACTCGCATTACTTTTTTAAAAAAGTAACTCAAATATTAATGTGTACATTTATAAAGTAATGCCTTACTTTACTCGTTACTCCAGAAAAGTAATATTATTACGTAACGCACATGGCACACTGCACTTATTCACAATCACAAAAGTACATTATTTGCATGTGCTTTAAAGTCTTGCCGGTTAAACATTTCATTCACATGCTGTTTTTCTGAGCACACTAAAAAGCCTGTCAAACAGCGCCTGATTATTGGACTGAGTTATCGTTCATGTCTGATTGCGCTAATACTGTCAAAAACACACAAGCTTTACATATAAACACAGTTGTTAAGTCTAAAGTGAAAGCAAACAGTTGAGAGAGAAACGGATGGGTGCCTGTATATTAGATGCGTGTCTTAAAGTGACAGCAGACTAATAGTACTAACATGCTGCCGCTTGTCAATAAAGGGACAGTTCACCCCAAAATTAAAATCCTGTCATTATTTACTCTCTCTCCCAAACCCGTATTAATTTCGTTCTTGTGCTGAACACAAAAGAACATA